CTACATGTTATGTATATTTTTTTTTTTGTGTTTGTTACCACTTTTTCTCAGCTCTCACCGAACGGATTTCTTTCAATGATACGTCAAAAGATCATAAATCGTATCTAGTCGAAGACATTACCCTTAAAAATTGAAAAAAATTCCCTCGTTTCTCNCCTCTTTACCCAAAACTTTCTTCAACTTCAATTTGGCTAATTATTCGAGTATTGCACAATTTTTGAACTCCTACAATTGGAATTCAACTTTTTCCTCTTTGGATGTGGATCAAGCAGTTAATTGTTTCATGGACGCCCTTCATTCCTCAATAATACAGTTTGTTCCTCAATATAAAATCCATTCCTCCTCATTCCCTCCATGGTTCAATTCTGAGTTAAAAAAAATAGTTTTTGAAAAAAGGCATGCTCATTATAAATTTAAAAAAACACCTTCTCTTATTAATTATCGTCATTTTTCACTACTTCGCGCACGCTATAAATATCTTTCTAAACAAAATTTTCGTAAATATACTGCTAAAGCTGAAAATTGCCTCCTAACAAACCCTAAATACTTCTGGAAATTTGTGCGAAAAAATAAATCTTCCGCTCTTCCTAATAGCGTTAGTTATAATAACGTAATTTCCGATAGTACACTATGTATGTCTAACATGTTCTGTAAGCATTTCTCCTCGGTCTTTTCTCAATCCTCTTCTCCTTCTCTTAATATCCTTCCCCATTTATTTTACGATCTCCCTAATAATGCCTCTTTTTCAATTGATGATGTTTTCAATGGTCTATCTAACCTTAATAACAATAAAGCTATTGGGCCTGATGGTATTCCTGGGAACTTTTTATTTAACCTTCGACATCTGATTTCCTTTCCTCTCTGGATGCTATTTCGAAAATCTCTTGATGAGGGATCTTTTCCATCCATTTTTAAAATTTCCTCTATTACTCCCCTTCTTAAATCCGGTGATCCAACTCAAGTTGTTAATTATCGTCCTATTTCTAACCTTTCCCATTTATCAAAACTTCTTGAGTCCCTTGTCTTTCAATCAATTAAATCCAGTACTAATAACTTTCTTATTGACGAACAACATGGTTTCCGTCGTGGCCGTTCTACTTTAACTTGTAATCTTGTCTTTCAATCATTCATTACTAACTCTTTCCTTAACCATACTCAAGTAGATGTTATTTTTACTGATTTTTCAAAAGCCTTCGATAAACTTAATCTTAATATCCTTTCTGAACTTCTATTCCANTCTTAATCAGGATATTAATAAGGAACTAGCAGTTTATGAAGCTTTTGGAATAATCCACCAATTTTTTAAAATTAAACACTATCTAAAGATTTGCATCGAAGCGTTTTTTTTTGATAGTGATTTTAATCACTGTCAGATATCATTATACTTGATCCAACTATGCCACGTCACCACTGTGCCGCGACCCCCCTGTGCTGGGTTTTTTTTTATTATCTAATAATGCAATCTGCTTCCGAATTATTGAGTTATTATTTAACTTGTATTCAGCAGCAAAACGTCACTAAGAAGAAAACAAAAACAATGGCGCTCTATTCGAAATGCGATCTAAAAGTAAAGAGTAAAGTCAGAAAACAAAAATCAAAATCGCTCTATAACAAAACTCTATAACTATACCTTTTTGATGAGAGGAGGACACCGTCGAAACAGAAATCAATGGCGCAGTAAGATAACACACTGCGAGTACAACCAGGCTATGGATATTTCGATATATAAACAAAAAGTAGCAGTCATTTTATTGTAGGTATTGGTATTATCATTTTGTTGTCATGATAAGAATTAATATCGGTTGAGTGAAAATATATATTATAAGAATTTTACTTTTAATCACATTATTTTATTAATTTTTCATCTTTTATATAATAATTAATAGAATAGTTTATGTTTGCATTGTAAAAAACTGCATTAACTCGAGAATTGCTACCAAAAATGATGATTGTAAAATGTTTAAAATACCAAAGGATTTTTCTCGGTTGTTTTCTTTTATTATAAATTAATAAAAATAATATTTGTATCTTAAAAAATCTATTCAATTGTTATAAAAAATGGTTACAAAATTGCAACAGAAATGATTTGTTAGACATATCAATTGATACATTGAATAAGTATTATATGGTTTTTTTTTTACATATTTTAAGGCTTACCATAATGAAATTTATCCACTTATGGAAACTTAATTATTCCACCCGATGTGTTTGTAAATTATATTAGTGAATTAGATAATATTTTACTATACTATACTGNAACAAAACTCTATAACTATACCTTTTTGATGAGAGGAGGACACCGTCGAAACAGAAATCAATGGCGCAGTAAGATAACACACTGCGAGTACAACCAGGCTATGGATATTTCGATATATAAACAAAAAGTAGCAGTCATTTTATTGTAGGTATTGGTATTATCATTTTGTTGTCATGATAAGAATTAATATCGGTTGAGTGAAAATATATATTATAAGAATTTTACTTTTAATCACATTATTTTATTAATTTTTCATCTTTTATATAATAATTAATAGAATAGTTTATGTTTGCATTGTAAAAAACTGCATTAACTCGAGAATTGCTACCAAAAATGATGATTGTAAAATGTTTAAAATACCAAAGGATTTTTCTCGGTTGTTTTCTTTTATTATAAATTAATAAAAATAATATTTGTATCTTAAAAAATCTATTCAATTGTTATAAAAAATGGTTACAAAATTGCAACAGAAATGATTTGTTAGACATATCAATTGATACATTGAATAAGTATTATATGGTTTTTTTTTTACATATTTTAAGGCTTACCATAATGAAATTTATCCACTTATGGAAACTTAATTATTCCACCCGATGTGTTTGTAAATTATATTAGTGAATTAGATAATATTTTTATAGAAGAATTTCCAATAATTTCTGTAAACAATGATGTAGGAAAAGAAATGAGAAATTTAATAAGTAATATTCCCTTTAAACATCCCTCTAAACAAATGTCTAAACTTTTATTATGAGTTTTTAAAAAACCTTTATATAAGACTGAGAATATTTAGTTCTTTAAAATTTTTAAACAAAAATATTTTATTAAAACCAAGAAAACATAGAAAACTTTTTACACTAAATCATTAAAAAATACATTTACATGTTTTAGATTATTTGAAAAAGTTTATATTATGTTTTATTTTATTAATTGTTTAATGATTGTATAATTTATGTGATGAATGTGTATAATGATTTTGAAACAGTATTATTATGTTAATTGATTCTTTTTGTTTTTAGCTTCAATGCAAATCTGAGAAGGTATTCATTTAACTATAATGTATTTTATAAAATAATTTATTCAAAATTAATGAAAAATTTTAGAAAAATTTGTATGAAATATTTAAAATATGTATTTTATTTCATTAATTTGAATTATCGTATTATTATACTATTTAAATATATTAAATACTTAAATATTTATGTAGTGTTGTACACGTTCAAGAATATATAAAAAAACATAAATGCCGTAATTAAAATTGTTACTTTATATTTTGAAAAAGGTATACACAATTTTAGTGTTGAAAAGTGGTCACATTGTAATACCTACATAAAAATGGTGTACTGATTCTAATCACCTCCCTATATTGACCATGTAATTTTTTATCAGTGTGCATTCTGTTTATTCTGTGGTATAACAGTAGCGAAACTGTTTTGCGTCCCAAGCCATGTACAGTCTGAAATTAACAGAACACATTAATATTAATACAGCCATTGCTATTAGACAACAGTTGAAAAATAAATATTTAATTAATGCAATTGCTATAATTACACATTTTAATAAATATTCACAATAGAAGTACAAAGATGAGTCTGAATATTTTAAAATTAAATAAACAATAATTAAAATGTAATAAAATGAACTCTATTGTTTGAGTAATAAATAATTTTACAAAGTAAATAACAATTCATTTTTTTTTAACAAATGAAAATGAATTACAATTGCAATAATTCCAACAGTAATAACAGCCAACAATCTTCAGCTCAGTAATCCGGGCACGACAAATGCACAATCTGAAAAATTAAAAATATATAGTACATCGTATTGGCCGATGTAGTACATATTACATTGTAATCACCAATAAATAAAATACTGTGTAAATAAAAATGTATAAATTGTACACACGCACAATAGAATATTATATATCAATATTATAATCAATAAATATATTGTATAATCTAATGTGGGACATATTGCACTCTGTAGACACCAATAAATAAAATACTGACTCATCTAACGGTAGATGTATGCTAAATAATAAAATTTATTTTATTAAATAAATATATATAAATTACTTGTACAATAAATCTAATAAGGATAACAACAATCAATTTCCAGCACAGACTTCCGGGCATGATAGATGCGCAGTCTAAAAATTACAAAATCAAATTAAAAACACTGCCATTACCATAAAAATATCAACAATTTAAAAATTATATTAATTACAACTGTTGTAAAATTATCAATCACACATATCAATAAATAGTCATTATAGAACCACAAACGTGTAAATAAATAAGTGTACATTTATACACATACGAAAAATATAAAAAAATGTACTAAAGTCAAGATGAATTTTATTGAATAAATAAATATGAAATTAATGAATAATTTTTAATAAATAATTAATAAATCAAAACGAATTACCTGTGCAACACATCCAATAGCGATAACAGCCAAAACTTCCAGTGAAGTCGTCCAGGCACAAAGGACGGTTCTAATTTCTAATAGAAAAAACTTGGTGTCGTAAAATTCGCTGTGAGGTCCGCAAAACTGTCGATTGGTACTGGTTTGGAAACCGCAGTCATAAAAGCCGAATTTTAGTAAATGCTTTAGATAAATGCTTTTGATGATTTGTTGACATTAAGTGTTTAGTTATGCCTAAAAGAGGAAAACATTTTAGATCTACAAATCGACACACAAATATTAATTTTTCTCTACCAAGAACTGGTAGAAGTTCTGATTATTCCATAGTACCTCTTAGATCAATGTAAGTTAATTTCAAACTAATTAAAAGCATTCAATTCAAATGTGTGATAAAAATGCTTTAATTTTTGGTTCATGAGAATACTTAATTGTATGCAATAATTGGTATAACAATGCTTGGATAGTTTATATTTGTTATTATTTTCATAAAAGATTTTTCTACAAAAATTTTTTATGCAAGATAATTTTTAAAAGTAGTTTAAAACCTCAATTAAAATATTATTGATAGTCAAGTAACAATAAATATTCAGTTACTACTACTTATTATTATTTATAAACTAGTCTCGCTACAGAAACCAAGAGTTTGCACTAATGATGGACATTTTCGAATATTTTAAACTATGGAATAGTATTCGAATTTTTTTTATACAACAAAATAGTTTATTTTCAGCATAAACTATCAAATATTTAAAAAACAATCGAATAGTAAGATAGTTAATATTCGATATTTTTCATCACTAGTTTGCACCGCGATCTGGAGAAGATGATCAATAAAGTGGTTTGGGTAGCAAGTGGTATTGAAATGCAAATCAGATTGGGAACGTGTAGTTACGAAAAATAGTCAGTTCGGAAGCAGTTAGTTTCAATGGACAAGTCGTATCGATCTTTTTAGAGGCAAGCCAATGACGAATATTTGGTTAGAGTATACTGCATGAACTTGGTTTAGTAACAGGCACTTTTAGTAGGGAAATCCATACGGTAGCAGGTAGTATCGGAAGAAAAGCCGGATAGTTAGTATATCGTTTAAACAATGGGCACTCATATTGATCCCTGTAGTCAAGCGGATGTCAGATATTTGATCAGAGTCCGGTTAGTAAATAATCGAAACGATCGCTTGTACAAAACAAACCCAAGATCTTGCAACGGGAGGCACGACACGATCACTCGGACCGATTAGGCCACAGATTACAGAAGAGAGTATCTAACTGCGATACATACGATAAATCCATCAGGTTCTGAAGAAAACAATAACAGGTGAATTTAAATAGCAGGTATAATGCGCGTCAGTTTAACAAGTATTGTTAATGGCGGTCAAGTTTATCGAACTCCGAATTGGAAAAAGACTCCATCAACTTCGAAAACGGACAGTGCGTACAGATGCTTATACTTTCGTATACTAATGTATTAAATTATTATTATGTAATCAAATACTTGATACTTAGTGAAAAAAATATCTAACGGTTAACGAATATAAAAAAAATTGTGATATTTACACGTAGAATAGTAATAATAAAATTACAAACAAAAATTGAATGTTGTAAAAAGAAAATATTAAAAAAACCTAGCACAGTGGGGTCGCAGCACAGTATGAACATGACATAGTTGGATCAAGTATAATGATATCTGACAGTGATTAAAATCACTATAAAAATACGCTTCGATGCAAATCTTAGATAGTGTTTAATTTTAAAAAATTGATGGATTATTCCAAAAGCTACATGATCTGCTAGTTCCTTATTAATATTCTGATTAAGATAAAGTATGTCGAATGAAAAAGGGATTATTAAAAAATATTATATCTCATAAAAAAATTGTATTGATCCTTTCACTTTTCAATAAGTTATAGCATTACAAAGTAAAATTGTAAAATATAAAATCGAGAATTTTCATACAAAAATAGCATTCGGTAACTATTTTCATCGTAAAGACAAAATAAAGTCCGATTTTTTTTTCTCCATAATAAAGTATATTACATTAGTTTTAATTTAAGATATAAAAGTGTCAGTATTTCAGGAACACTTTCAATAGTTAAGTTGAAAAAGTTAATTTTTTTTGAAAAAGATGTCATTTTAAATCCCCCCTGTGAGCATGTAAAGGTCAGATTTACAAAAGAAATATATCAAATGATATGTAAAAAGATTATGCATCTATAGTTTCCCCCATTTACGGGGAACGAGGGAAAATTGTTCAATTTTCGAGGGTAATTTCTTCGACTAGATACGATTTGTGATCTTTTGACGTATCGTTGAAAGAAATCGGTTCGATGAAAGCTGAGAAAAGTGGTAACATACACAAAAAAAAACACATCATGGTAAAACCAATACCTTCTCAGCTTCGCATCGAAGCTAAAATTACTTGACCACAACACCTCTCCCATAAAACTAAAATGCATTCTTACAGAATATTAAAAAATACCTTAAGTTACAATAATCCATTAATTTCTAAAATACATTTACAAAATAAGGTATTTTAAATTACGATAAAAAAATTATAATTTTTAGTTATATTTTTACTCATAATTACAATCAAAGTGTATTTTTATTAATACGCTTATATTAGTTTCACATTTATGTTGTGTGTTATTAAAAAGAGTTCATAATAATATTATTTGATTTTTTATGTAATATAAAATACAAAGTATCTAAGTAAAAATCAAAACAATCTAAATAGTAATGAAATGATAATATTGTCTATTTAGTACACACACAATGCGTAAATATTAAGTACATTGTTAGATACCTGATTTACTTTTATAAGCTTTCTTTTAAATAATGAATTGAATAAAGCAGTAAAATTTAATACGCCTCTGTAGTTGTCTATTAGATACTTCATTATGTACTCGTATGTTTCTATAAAAGAAAACCTGATGTTTAGAACCCCTTCAATAAGAATTTTCTCAATAACCGGTGTTTTATAAATTAAAAAGTTAGTTTCTATTATATTGCAACATATAATTTATATTAATCAAAATGTGTATGTAAAAATATTTTTACACTATCAAGATTAATTAGATTGATTAGATTTAAAGAACAGAAATTATATCTATAATTTGTGGAAGTCAAAGTGAAAGTGGCGTTAGTAAATTTTTGATTATTAACTAATTTGACCTAAAAATAAATATTTCAAACTCAATTATTTTTTTATAGTATCAAATAATTTTAATAAAAGTAAAGCAATATTATGGAATTTTAAAAACCTATATTTATCATTCTTAATAGTATCAAAATATTTCAAATGACTATTGTTATAATTCAAAAAAATATATATATAGCAGAAAGTTGGTAAAATATAAATGATGAAAATGAGCGATGAGTATAGTGAGAACCTGATGTTGTGGTTCTATCGGGGTCGTATGGTTCGAGGGTTTAGAACGACAAAGACAAGTAGATATAAAAATATATTAAGTTCCTCTTATAGAGGTAGAATAAACTTTTGTCTGGTTAGTTTCTAATGTCCTAACTAAGAGGCAACGAAACGGCGAAGCCAGTTCACGAATACCTCGGCAACGAGACGGCAGAGCCAGTCCACGAATACCAGAGCCTAATTTATACAGTAGAAATCACGCTAGGTTTTTTAAAACATCTTTAAGGCAACGAAACGGCAGAGCCAGTTCACGAATACCATATAACGTGATTATGTATAATTTCTTTAACCAACCAGTCAAAATTGACACTTTAAGATATTAATTTAATAAATGATCTATTGCTTTGTCATTCTTTACTCAAATTTATTAACTCCAAATAATTGGGATAACATAAAATTACTTACTTCTTTTATTCTTGTAAATTGCTTGTAAAATGATTTGATAATTATCTCGATATGTTTATATATGTTTAAAAGTATTTAATTAGCACTTCGTCAAAAGATAAATAATTAAAGCAAGTTCTTTTCATATATAAATAAAATGCATAAAAGTCAGCCGACAACAACACAGGGCTGTGACTGATAATTGTTACTTTTAATTCGAAGAAAACGAACTCTTTTGGTCGCTGTCACTTCTTCTTTTTTTTCGTCTCTCTGGAGTCTTTCCCTGACTCTCTCGGACTGAAAGGATTTCAGTGTTTTTTATAGTAAAATGATATTACCCCCAATCCAGGGATATTGTTGTCAGCGCTTTTAGTAATCTTTTTAGTTTATTGTATTAATTATGCATTACAGGATTATTATATTCAGATAACATATTTAACAATTGATAAATTGACATATATATATAAATAATAAGAAATTGTGTTGAACATCGTATTTGTTATGACAGATAAATTATTTGTTTGTTTACAAGTTATTTAAAATACAGATTATACATTTTTCATTAATAATTAGAAGATGCGTAATGCAAAGCATTGAGCATATTACTACACTATTCTAAAAATTATAAAAATTGACTAATACTACTTTTGCCCTAACCCCAAGATTTGTAAATAATTTACTTTTTAATAGCTCAGTCAGTAAACTTATCTGCCACTAAATTTAACATGTGAAGGTTTATACGTAATACACTCTAATTTAAAATCAATAAAAAAATACTTATAATATTTCAGAAGTAACTTTGGATGTCTAGCTATGTTGGTAATTGAATCAGAAAAATCACTATCGCTTGATATTTCTGACAAATATGTTACTAAAACAACAATACAATTAGAAATTTATGTGCACATTTTAAATGAATTAATTTTTAACTGACGAAAAATTTTAAATGAATAACTTTTTTTGAGAAAAATTTTATACAATCTCTAAATACGGCACCTGGTACTAGTGTATATTTTCAAAATATCCAAATTTGAGATATTTTATTTTGTTTCATATGACAAAATTCTGTTTTTTTTATTTGAAAAAAATATGCAAAAAGAGAATTGTAAAAATAAACATGTGCTCTTTTTACACTTATTAACTCAATTATAATTTCAAGTAATAATATAAATTAAATTAAACATTTTAATATTAATTAATTTATTTCTCTAAATCATTTATTGAATGTAGCAAAATATTAATTGAACAATAAATAGTTTTTATAGATATTATTGCATTAATAAAACTTTTTAATTTACCTTTACTTTAAATATAAAATTGTCAATAAATAAGAAAAGTAAAACATTGATCCATCTTCTATTTAATAATGTAGATGAAAAATCACTAATTGAAATTTGATCAGTATTTATGGTAGCATTAAAATTGCAAATTTCCTTATGAGGAAAATTATTTAGATTGTATGTATCACAATGAGTCTATTTAACTCGATTTCAATCAATAAAACCCTTGAGTAACAACATTAATAGAATTTCTTATGAAAAATTGACTATAAATCCTGAACGTTTGTTAATTTTACACAACGACCGTTACATTTCTTTATGTCGTAAGTCGTAAGTATTACCGATAATATCAGCAGTTGTTAAAAATAGATTTGGTATCAAACGTCTGATAATCGATTTACATTATGGTACAGTTTTGATAATACGCTAGCAATCAAAAATCATAAAACATATACAATTATTAGCCTTTAAAAAAAAACCTAGACAATTTTAAGACTTTTTCAAAAAAAAATGTCGAGGGATGGGTTACAACTATAAGATATGTACTTATTGAGTTATAAGTATTTTAATACATAGAGTAGGTATCTAGCATTGGTAAGTACAATTTCGTACAATTCGTAAAAATGTAAAAAATAAAAATATATTACCTAATTATTTGACTCTAAAATATTTAGGTGTACTACTGAGGTATCTTAGGTACACTTGTATACTTGTATAAAAACAAATAAAATAAAATTGACATGCGCAAGCCAAAATAATATCCTACTAAAAATTATGCGCGTGTATTTAAAAAATAATATATTCATAACTCGATTAAAAATGAACAGGTTTAAACGACATTTTCAGGGTACTTTTGGACTGTCTCTGGGTCTCTGGTAAAATTTTAGAATTTAAATCGAAAAACGCTGGCGGCAATGAGTGTATTTGATAAAATTTTTAAACGCTCACGGTGTGCTAAAAAACATTTTTTAAAATCGAACGTCGTTAAGTAATTTTTCCAGCATTGGCTAAATTTTCAATGTTTTATTATATAATAAGATATTATATATTATAACATAAATTATAAAATATAATATTTTATATAAAAGTATTATAATGTAAATAGACCAAAATAGGAGCGTACTGAGTAACTAGAACACGTAGCCCGTCGGGTAGTTCCTAATAGGAATCAAATAGACGTATTATGTAAGGTTTCCTGGAAGGTTGGTGCTGTTAAAGTAAAAACTGGCTATTTATAAATTTTTTCAAAATTAAATAATAAAAATGTATTTTTGTATTCTGTAAAACTAATGATTAATCATATTATTTATACTATAATTCACAAATAATACTACAATTAGTAAATGTTTAAATAATAGGATTGAAAACGTTTTTATAGAAGAAAAAAACATTTTGTTCAATGAAATCATCAGTTTTGACTTTTATAGGTAGTATTTAGACATTGATTTTTTTTATAATATATAATTCAAGTAGTATGAATTTGTATTAACTTTTGATTAAGTTTTATGTTTTTGAACGATATTTTTGTTTTACTCTGTAACAAACTTAAATATTGTTCCAACAGCTGTAATTTAATTAAAAAACTAATTTAATAAATTTTTTTTTCGTTTCAAAACCACCTAAGCTATCAGTATTTTAACACGCTTTTATTAGTTTCACGTGTATGTTTGTTGTTGTTTGTTGTTTGTTGTTTGTAAGTTTGTAACTCTCCAAACGTCACGCGTTATCGCATATTCCGTCGTCTAGACTAGACTGTTATACGCATTCACCCCTCCCCACGCCTCGTTCACCACACGACGGTACACTATTCCTATAAAAATTTATTTTTAGTTATCGTACCCGTACACGCGTGCTTGTCATCAATATTATATATATGTAAACAAATTTTTATTTTGACTGACCAATAACGCCCGCGTCTAATGCGCCTTACGTATATATATATATATTCCTACCGCCGTTTATACCTCGGGTATAACGTTAGTCCGACCCGCCCGGCCATAAAACACAGCTATACTTAGTGCATGATACTTTTACGTAGTTAAGTCGCATTATTTGTATAAATATATATATTCTAATTACTATTAAAATTAATATATTAACACGATTTATTCTAATTAAGAGATATAAAGTATTCATTCCGATTACGAGGGATGATTTCCGTATCGTCATTTTTCGTCACTACCTCCACGTTCCGGGAGTGAGTAATTTACGCGCCTGCTGCTTTCCTTGGATGTGGTAGCCGTTTCTCAGACTCCCTCCCCAGAATCGAACCCTGATTTCCCGTTACCCGTAACAACCATGATATTGATAGTAACTACTATCATAACATGAAACTAAAAAGTAAAAAATAAATATAGTTTAAAAAACTAAAAAAACACGCTTTTAAAGTACATCGAACTAAAAAGTTAAAAATAATTTTTAAAATAATTATGAACAAAAAATACTAGTATTATTGTGATAAAAGCGTCGGGCGCTCAATATACGAAAAATATGGCACAAAGCACCCACGCTTTTATCACAATAATACTAGTATTTTTTGTTCATAATTATTTTAAAAATTATTTTTAACTTTTTAGTTCGATGTACTTTAAAAGCGTGTTTTTTTAGTTTTTTAAACTATATTTTTTAGAAAAAACATTTCTAATCTTTGTTTATACATTTATTAAAACATATTATTATTATGATATCTATAGACAATGTAATACAGTAAATATTAGAGGCTGGTAGCGACTAGGCACGAAATACTTAATTGGGACACCGACTCACAAGTGTTATTATTCCTCCGAAAACAAAGGAACGGTCGCCATTCCGTTTATTGGTAAACATTAATGTATCGAATAATTACAATGAACGCTACTCTGTAGTGCAAACATTAAACATTTCTACGTGGCGCATTCGCAGTTTTTATTAAAGTGTTTGCCCGACGCAATATTCAAAACACATTTTATGTACAACTTAACAAACAACTAAAAATGACTGCACTACTAAGGCGGCCATGAAAAACATCCGTTTAATTACAGAAGAAGCCTAATGATTTTATTATCAACTTTACTATGTCGAGTTGGCGTTGGACTGTTGGATATTGAGTCATCCATTCATCAACTGAGACTGCTGAAAATTAATAATATTACGAAATTTGAATACGGATTGCTGAGTTATTCTCCCACTCAAAAATATATTATTGGATTGGCTTGACTGTAGTTGTTGAACCGACCCAATATTAGTCGGAGTGAGGGGGAATGTGTCATCAGTACGCATGTCACTACTCAAGACTCAGTAAAAACATCTCAGTAGAATAGGCTCGGCTTGAAATCAACTACACCAACACATAGATGGCCAATCGTTCGCCATTTTTATTTGTAATCGTCGCTTAATGATAATTTAAAACTATGCGCATGTGATAATAAAATCCCCAATAAATTTATAGTTTTGGCAGTCAAGCTATTCTTATTAATTTATATTTTATGTGCATCGACTATCAATTTTTAGTATCTAATCTGAAATTTGTAAATCATAGTAGCGTAATTTTTATTTTAACTGCTATCGTATCGATGTACGCTACAATTGCTGAAAACTGGTTTGAGAATGGAAAAAATGACCTCAAGCATTGATGTAAGTATGTGTATATTTTTTTTTATTATTGAGTGTATTATCAAAAAGAGTGTCAGCCTAATGACCCTACTGATTGGAAATCCAATATTATTGGTGGTATTTATAGGATAATCTGGTTTAGTATTGCAATTTTTTTGTCTGTTTTAATTTATGAATATTTTTTTTGTTGTGGAAATAACATAAATACCATTCAATATTTCTGATCAAATTTTTTAATTATGTCCGAGGGAAATTGAGAAGCCAAGATGTTGAGGTTGCTTGATATAGAAAAAATACAAATTAGGACTCAAAAATGTATAATTGCATTAAATATAATTGTAATTTTCATACATTGGGTATAATATAAAATAATTTAACAAAATTGAGTACCTTATAGATATTAAGAAATTATATTTCGTAGTTCTTAGGTATAATACTTTAAAGAAAGTGTTAACAGAAGTTTTATACAAAATAAATAATGATTATTTTTCAGATAATAAAAAATTTATTTCATACTGTCTCACAATATGGATTTTTTAATATGCATAACATTACACAGAATATTTTTCTTGATTTTTTATTATTTTATTTGTAGATTTATGTGTAATACTGTGAACTTAATAGTATTTAAAAACAAAAATTTTGATAAAATATTAAAGTAAAAATATATTTAAGAGAAAATGGGTAGATTAATATATTTTAGCCTGTAAGTAATGACATTATCTTTCAAATCTCTTATGTATATCATTTTATATTTTGGATATACCTTATCTTTAATCTGTTTTTATCATTCATTAAGAAACAATTTTTAAATTATATTGTTTTTTAATTATGTATATAATTGTGTAAGAACATTTTTGTTGCTGTGCTATGAGTAAGTCTACAAATCTATTATATTATTACCATTTTTTCTTCTATATAATTTGTTTAAACAGTTGTTAATCAAATGCAATTCTTTTTTTTCTTTTTAATGAACACCATAATCGTAATGTAACAAAATAAATTATTTCAATTGCACTTAGAAAACTAAACCCCATAAATAATCCAAGAAGTCCTCCTGTGTTGGCTATAAATGATTAAATTATTATTAAAATTAATTAAATAATAATACAATAAGAATTGTGTACATTATAATTTATACTGAAATGTTATATTTCATGTGTTTCATACACTTATAGTATTAAAAAATTTCACATGATATTACACCAAAATTAAATTTTAATAAAGATAATTTAGACCATTCTACTTGTCAAATACAGATATTTAAGCAACTTTTTTCAATAATTTACTAATAAGTTCTAGTGTCGATGTCAAGTAATGGCGAGTTCAGTACATAAAAAATTTTTTGTAGTAAAAAAAAACATTTATAGGGCCCTTATAAGCAGGAGCGCTTTGGCAAGTGTATTAACTGTGTTACTCTTCTGCAAGTCTTGATGAATTAACAAAATATGTTTAAATTAAATATAAATATTTGGATTTTTCTCTATTTCTATATGACCTTTTAAATTACTGAAATAAGTAAAATAAGTGTTGAATACAACATATTATATACATTAGAGACTTTTCAGATTCATTTGATATAAAATTATAAATGAAACATTTTTTTTTTGTTAAGGTAAATAAAAATTGAAAAAATTAGTTTGAGATTTTTAGTTTTGTAAATCTGATTTTTAGTTATAACTACTCAATCAGTGGTGGCAGAAGTTTTTGTGGGGCAAAATAAATTACAACTTATATAGGGCCATAAGTAATATGATTTCAGATCTGCGGTGCCTGAGACAACTACCATTACTGCCCTCTGACACCATACTTAACATAATTTACTTATTATCACTCAATATTTGTATCGCTTTTTTTCTTATTAAATTAGTGTCATTATATAAGTTGGTTTATAATTAAATAATTTTATGAAAACATGAAATTTTTTCTTTATGACTAGGTATTTGTCTTACATAAAAATTCAGTGAAACCAAATAATTCTCCCTTTGTATAACCAGTAAATTGAGTTTCTTCAAAAAAATAATGTACTACTGCCATATTTTTTCTATAGAATAATTTGTGTGTTAGTATTTTATTATGTATAAATTAGTACAAGAATTGTATTATTCACTTAAAGTATGTGATATTTCGTCCACTTAAATATGTTTCTTTAATTTTGTAATTACTTGACAAAGGTGTTGAAGATTGTACTTTATTATACCCAGTCCAGTGACATCCTGGTAAACATGTACAACTAGATAAATCTGTTCCATTCAAGAATGAATTCATATTCATGATTTCTGAGCTGAATCTTAATTCCATTGCTACTACAAAAATGAAAACAAAATCATTTAAACATAACTAATTATAAATAGACAAAATTTCCTATTTTATTTTTGTTTGACAAAAATAATAATTTTTTTGAAGTAGATAAAAAAGCAATTACATTTTGCTCTATCTGAACACGGTTCATCTTTTTTTCCACAAATTCTGGTAAAATTATCTTCTATAAACACATTTATAGAAATATGAATTGCTAAATGTTAAATCAATGCTAATATTTAAAAATATTGTTTTAAGAAGTACATTATGTAATCTTACTTGGCATGTAATACATAACACACTGACAAAACTTTAATGTAAAATTTGCTTCACATTCCATCATACAGTTTCTTTGAGTATATGTTCTGTAAAATCTTAAACGTTTTTCTGCTGAATACACACATTGTCTTTTTTCTTTTAATATTGATGCCAATGTAGGTGTGGCCATTCCGACTGATGGATGAATTTCTACTGAAGTTTCTTGGCCAGGGGGTATATAACTACCAAACGATGATATCTTTGGTGTTTCTACGGGATTATGTAACATCACCTAAATAAAAAATGTTATATTACTAATACTTAGCTTATAATAGCATAATAATCTACCTTAAATCCATAACTAACTTCTGACGAACAATAGTATTCATCTACTTCAGCATCTAGGACAATAGTTAAACCTAAATGGTTTCCAGCACCTAAAGGTCTCCAAGGTGTATAATTAATAGGCGTGTTAAGAGGATATCCATCTTCAGGAGTCCAATTAGCTGAAGGATATTTGAATGTAACATTTAAATCAGATGCATCTTTAGGATTTTTAAATATTAACTCTGATCTTAATCTATTAAATGAACAACATAACCCTTCATCTGTAAGAGATGGATGAAATAACTCTGTACATTTAATAGGTTTGCTTGCCCATAGACAAGTAATAACCATTTCATGACATGGTTGAGAAACTCTGATCATAAATTTTTTGAAAGAATCCCAATCTCCTGTATGGTTATCTATTAATGAATCAAGTAATAATGGTTCTTCATCACAAAAATCACTTAGTAGACGACGATCAATATTACTTTCAAAATTTGACGTTCTATAAATTTTTAATTTATACTTTCAATTGAAAACTTAATATCAATAATTTTGTTAATTACGTTTCAATGATATCTTGTGCCACTGATTTTCTAGCATTATTCATATTACAGATTGTAATAGCTGGGAATGGTATGCTGGTAAGTTGAGTTGCTTTTGGAGAAAGGCTTATTATGACCGGCATATCATTCCATTTATGAAAAAGATTGGCAATAAAGTAAGTAGCTGTTATTACAGCTAAACAAAACGATATCATCCAAAAACCTCTAAAACCCATTGTATACTTAACTAGTAATTTAATTTAATTTTAAAATGATAATTTAATTAAGTAAATTAAAATATCTATATAATTGTATTATAAAAACTTGCAGTGATGTATCCAAGACTTTTTAATGAGGAAGGCTACTACAAAAATAAATTTTAGTGAACATTTCTTAGGTAATTTTTAATTAAAAATTTTGGTTTAGCAAGGTCAATTGAGTGTTTTTTGACTCCCTCTAGATATACCACTGATAATTTGTTTTTATGTTAAAGTAGTTTCAAATTACCTTTCACTAGCACTTAATTTGTTATTTCCAGCATATCGTAAACCATGTAAAGTAGTATTTATGGAGTAATCATTTAACATATTTCTCCATTTTATACCAATTTTCTTCTTTCGTGTCTTACGTTTTAGCCACACTTCAGGAGTACTAAAAGTAAACCGTGTGTGAGTTTTATTAGTAGGTTGTTTAAAAGGTTCAAAATCTTTTATATATGTATTTATAAACATTATGTTTTGTTATTAATTAAATGGATAAAAAATAAATATTTTTAAGTAATATTTTATAAATAAAAAATAATAACTCTTAAAATTTTAAAAAGTAGTTGTAACTACTGATACTTTTGAAAGTTTAAAAGAAACTAAAATTAGTAAAAATGTTATAAAAATATATAATTTTACCTTATTGTTTAACTTTAATTTATTTAATAGGGTATTATGTATTATCTAGTGGTAAATATTATTTCAATATGTCAGTTAGTTTTTTTAATGCAAATCAAAATATTGTTAAAAGGGAATAATTTAAGTAATTGAAAATTTACAAAGAAAATATACTATGACTTAAAATGAATTGATTGAATCTGTATTAGTTTCATAATATTGATGTTGTTAAATAATTATTATAGGATAATATGGAAGAATCAACTGAAAAAGAAAAAGATATAAGGGATGAACTGGATAAAGCTAATGAGTAAGAATGATTTTAATATTTTTTATACTTTATAATGATGTAAATGTAATTTATTATGTAAATAGAATTTTTAAAGAAATCTTTTGTAAAGCTCCAACATTGATTAAAGATCTGAATGATGATTCAGTAGATATTGATTTTAAAGAGTGTGTAGCAGACCATTTAGACCTATTAAAGAGTAACTAATATTTTTATGTATTAAATTTATTAAATTTTATTAATAAGTGGTTATTAATTTTTAATTATTTAACTATATTTTAGTTGATGCCAAATTAAAAGAAGGAAAATATGGTGCATTAGCTGATGTAATTATTGATATTAGAAAGACCCTTTTAAACTGTTACAAATATTATGGAATAAAAAATGAAAACACTTTAAAAGTTTTAAAATTTGAGGAGTTGTTAGAAAAAACTTTTGAATGTCTTAACGAGTAATAATATTGTTTTTTGTACATTTTTTTTATTAAATTTTGTATATTTTCATTTTATTTGGTAGAATGAAGTAGAGTAATTGTAATCAAATGGAGTAATTGTAATAGCATTTTTTTTAATGCACAAGTTTTTATTTAAACTTACATTTAATATGATAGCAACACTATAAGGACCAAAACTTTTGAATTTAAGAAAATCTGTTAAATATTTTAAAAGAAAAAAATAAATTTACAATAACCCCATTTGTTTACAATTATCCTACTTAATCTTATATTTAAATGATAAATATGTTTTTTTTATTATTTAATATTAAAAAAAAATGAATCGTTAATTTAATTAAGGTTACATTTTATTGTATAAAATATTATAACTCATTCTGTTTTTGGAATATAATTAGGCATGGAGGCTTAGCCTTCCAATTTTTTTTCTATTTATATTCAAGAGGTACTTTTTTCATTTTTTACTAATAGCTATTACTAAAATATTTTTAGTAAATTAGTATTAAATTATTCATGATAGTTAATTTTTGCTTAATTAACATAATTTATATTTTTTTAATTATTTCAAATTTAATAATTGATAACTTTTTTTGTTTTACTTCAAAAATTTTCATTTTAGGTAGCTGTAAAATTTTTAATTATTTAAAGAACAATTTATAAGTAAGCAGAGTAGATTTTATGTTTCTATAACGTTTTTCTTACAGAATTAATATACTAATTAAAACATACTTAAAATATTGATTTAAAATTAAAGATATTTAATTCAAAAAGCCGGCACCAAAAATTAAAAAAAATATTGTGCATATGTATTTGGGAAACAATGTTAGCCACAAATGATAAATTCTTATTACATAATCAAAACATCCTATATTTACTCAAGATACTTTGTTTAGACTAGTAAATATTTTATTTATATTCCTAGAATTAACTATAATAGTTATTTATTACTGTTACAGGAATCTCCGTAAATCAGCAGATGTTCAACTAACTTTAAAATTATTGAATTTGGATAATAAACCAGATTACAAATTTAGATATCCTAAAAGTATACTTATTTTTAATAAATAACTATTATTTTACTACAAAAAGTGTTCTTATATATACAGGGTGATTTGTTTATCACAGCCCCCTACTTAATTACTCACAGAATAAAAATAACATTTTTTTTTTTTAATATCTTTAATTACATATTATTCTTGAATTATTATTGTTGATAAAGTCATAATTGATAATAAACACTGAGTATCTGCAAATAGTGATGCCATAAAAAAACAATTAGCTATTTGCATTTATAATCCCTTATATATACATATATATTGTTTTCAAAAATTTAAAACTTTAAATTTTTATATCTACCAAACAAGTAAAGTTATGATAAAAATTTAAATGTCATTTACTATAAAAATAAAACCTCAAACATTTTATTAAATTCAAAATATGTTTTTTCTTTAAAAAAAAAAAAAAACAAAATATACACTTATGAAAACACAAAGTTTATTACAGCCTTACTGGGCATGAAGGATGTCTTAAAAAGTATTACATAGCTAATAATTCAAGAATATGCAATTAAAGATATCCAAAAAAAAAAAAAAAAGTAAAATTATTTTTATCTTGTGAATAATCAAATGGATTATAATAAAAAAAGAATTTATATATTTTTATTATACCCATAATGTGGTTTCAATAAAACTTATTTATTGATATATTTTTAATTAAAATAAAAATTTATTTTAGATTGTTATGATTCTCTATTACTAAGAAGCGTAGCACATTGTCGCCCAGAAAGATTAAAAGAATATCATAAAGTACTCTCTAATACTTTGACTACTGATGAAGACAGTTCTTCATTATTAGAAGAATTATTAAATTGGGAAAATGAAGTTTGTTTTAATGATCATTATCGGTACATTAGTTCAATGTGGGAGGTATATAAATTAAATAAATAAATTATAAAAATATTTCCAATTTTTGAAATAAAAATGTTTTTAGCTTCCTGAAATAGGAAATTTAATATCAATTTTATTCAGAGAATTAGATTTTGAAATAATTAATCAAGGTGAAATTGAAAGAATGTTTTTAATGCCAAAAGAATCATTGGCGATGTCAAAAATTATGACAACTTTATTAATACCAATAAAAAAATTAAAACACATTGATAAAGTTATGCCGTACAAAGTGTGGTCTGAAAAATTGTCAAAGAAAGTATCAGAGTGGTACAAAGTGTATCATTCAAAAAAAAGAAATAAAGTGAATGTATGTATTAAATTACATTTTATTTGCACATTTAATGACTTATATTTTTATTTTAGAATAATTTGATACAGGTTATTATACTACTCTATTCATTATGTTACTGTTAATTTTTCTATTAACTTGTAGTTAAATTATGATGTAGATATTTCTTATTGTAGAAATACAGTATATTTCTCTCATATTACATTTTCATCAAAGTTTCACAAATCCTATTATTACTACTGTTCTTATAATAAAAGGCGTTGATACCAAAAATATAAATTTCAAGAAATTAAATTGAATTTTTATCATTCAATATGTTATTTTATACTTTTTATTTTAAAAATGGTCATAAATTTATGAATATATAAATAAAGTTAAATTTATACTAAAATTTATTATTTTGAACAAATTGATGTATATCTTTCTTAACTAAGAAAATGTTATAAAACTACATAAAAATAATAATAATTTCAGAAAAAAAGTTTTAAACAGTATAATCTTAACTCTTTATGATAGGGTAACCTATACCAATAGAAAACTGATTTAATTAGTACAAGACGTATAAATAATTAAAAAAATATATTTAAATTTTATTTTTATTATTTTTTAGGTTTTAAAATCATTAGGAATCCATCCAGATTTTTGGGCAGTTATAGGTGATAGAAATCCTTTAGTCCATTTTGATTACTGTGAATTATCTTATTTAATGAAAGTTTGGCTAATAAAAGGACTTTGTGATTATGTGATTGTAAGTTGAATTATTAAGTAATGATTATAAGTTAACAAACATTATTATTCTACTATAAAGTAGAAAATTCAATTAGCTGATGAATAGAACTTGTGTTTATGATAATTACTTTAATATTATCAATTAAAATTTAATTTAATATTTCAATTTCTCACAAGAATTATTCTAATAAAAGATCATATCAAGTCACTAGCATTTTTTGTTTGAATTATTAATAACATACTTCCTAAAGTATTTTTATACCAGAGTGTTTGATTTTTTATTAATAGTTTCCATAAAGATTTTTGTTTTAATATTTTTACAGAATATTTTATCAATAATTTTCTTATTTTATCAAAATATATTTTATTTGCAGAATAAATATAAAACTGTTAGTGACATTGTAGTAAATTGTAATGAACGCCAGGAAACAATTTGGAAGAATGAAATGGAAACTGAAGAATATTTCTATTTTAAGACTATACCAGACCTAAGATTATATTATTATCAAATTCCTAATGATGAAGTAATTAAAGATAATATGTTGTAAGTTTTCAAATTTGATTTAATATTTTCATTTTATTTAGCCTGATTTAGATTTTCTCAATATAGAAGAAGTTGATGAAGAGGATAGAGAAGGAGCAGTACAAATTATATCTGGTAATATTATTAAATTACTTAAATAAAAAAAATTAATTTTTATGATATAATTTAGGCATACATAGTTTATTCCGGTCAAGATCTCGTGTGAAACCAAATTCTAATAATTTTAAATTAATAGCAGACTCAGTTCAAGGCATACGTTCTTTCATTAATGCTCTTGATACTGATGATACATGTGTTCCTGATAGCTTAATTAACTCCCTAGAAGATTTTGTTGTTAGACTTGAATCAGAAGAATGTAATCTAATAGTTTTGAACAATAATTCCAAAATTAAATTATTTAAAGACTGGAAATCTTATCCTGAAAGATCTAAACATGATGATGATATATTATTTTGGGAGGAAAAAGAAACAAAACAATCTAGAAGTGATACAGGTATATTTTTTCCTCAATTTATGGTAATTATAAATATTTGTAATATAAATTTGTACGAGTGCTTCTTAGTAACCTAAAAATACATTTCTTAAATTTATAATCGAGTAGGATTTGAAAAGTTTCAAAAATAATATTTTTTACAATTTGTTAAATATTTTCTTAATAATACATTTGAGGTGTGGAAGGATCAAGTGATTTAAGTATGAAAAATTCAAAATCAATTTTTACTACATCAAATTAATCTATGTATGCATGACAATACTGTTAAAAATATTCAACTTCAATAACTATTTATAAATTTAAAAAATGAGTATCCAATGATAGATTTCCTAAAAACTCCTTGGGAAAAATGAAATGTTTTTTATTGATATTCTAAGAAAAAAATGTTTGGTCTTAGATGTCACACCTCATTTATTTAATATACAAATATATAAAGAAATTTACAAAATAAATTTTAAAAGTACTGTATTATTTTTTAGTAACAAATGAAGAAATAATACAAGAGAAACGTAAAAGAAAAGTAGTTATACATCAAGAATTTGATGTTGACATTCATGACTCTGATGAGTATTTTACTGATAAAACCAATGAGTCTGTTTGTGATTTTTCTGATTCTGAAGATGAATGGGGTGTAATAAATCAAACTAAAAATAATAAATCTAAACAATTGACTCAAGCTCCATCTAAAATTGTTGAGTTAGAAAAAAGGTTAAGAGAAGAAAGTAAGATACCAAAGAAACGTCAAAAAAATAATTATATTTTTAATGATATTGCTGATTCTAATGCATTAGACTTACCTGATGATATAAAATGTGTCAATGACACATTAAGTAATAATAATATTTTAGAATGTAAGCAAGTAAAAGAAAGTAATGAGTCCCTTAATTCTTTAAATAAAAATATAATATTGCATGATAAAAGCAAAATTCTAGAATCTAAGCCATTGAATAGTGTTGAAGTTATTACACTTGATGATGACAACTCCAACAGTTGTGATTATACTGATACTAAAACCAAAAACTCTACTGAAACTAATGACATTATATCAATCCAAGATGATGATGATCAAATAATAATAAGTGATGATGAAGATGATATTCAAATTGTATCTGTAACTCCGAAACTATTAAAAACTCCAACTCGTGATACCAACTTTAAACGCAATAATTCTTATGTTACAACTAATAAATCATTGACCACATATAGAAAAAGAAATCAAGCCATAACTACTAACTTACCCAAACTACCACCAAACGTATCAATTATACCAGCAAATGTTCATTTACCAAAAGATATTCAAGTAACTGTTGTAAAAAAACAACAAACTACTATTGCATCACATTTTAATGCCACAAAAAGGTATTCTTCTACAAAAGCTAATGGTTTTTTATCAAACAGTTCAAGAGAAGTTAATGTTAAGTGTAAAGTGATATCAAAGTCAAATTTTAAAGGTGAAGTAAAATTTTATGTTAGTTTACCAAATGGTAATCATCATCCTGTTTCTGATGAATTAATAAATCAGTATTTAAAAGAACATAATAATAGATTGCCTGATTATTGGTTAGTACCATTACCTATAGAAGTAGCTAAACAGTATGGATTTTAATTGATATTTATAATCGTTTTGGTACTGTAAATATGTACATTTATTGATTTAATTGATAAGCATTAACATATTTATTTCTAACAAGAGACTGAGATTTTTTTCTATTTCTATTGTACATTTTATTTTTGATCCTATGAAACTTTATATCCTATGGTACGAGTAAAACTTAAAAATTAATTATATTAAAATTGTTAATATTGTACAAATGTTATTATATAATGTTTTGTTAAATATAAATGTTAAAAAATAATAACATGGTATTATGTTTATTGCAGTATTAATTACAGAAAACTAAAAACATTAAATAACATAGATACAACGTGGAAGGGGTAATACAATTTTTTGCTTGAAATCTCATTCGGGATAAAATTTTATTTATGCCTTATTTTATACTATTTAAGTCGCAATTTTGAATGTTATTACTATGGGTGTATATTTTCCTTTTGAACATTGGATTATTATCAATAGTACGATATTTATAGTATGACAATGTTTTTTAAAAATGAAAAAATTTAATTTGTATAAATAATTTTAAAAATAATAACAGAGGACAACAAATAATAAAAAAAAATTCTGTTGTCTTAAACATTGAGGTGAGTTCTGTGTGGAATATCCAAATCTGACTTCAAATATTTTGTATCATGATTTAGATTTTAAATAATTACTAGTTATTAATTAAAAATTGATTAAACAATCAAATCATCATAAAAGTTCAGGTACTGAAACCTATATTCTAACCGAAACCAAAATCACAACCATACAACACAAAATCGGTTTCTATAACCGAAACAAATCGTTTTTCAAAATCGAAATCGTAAACAAATTTAACGATTTCAGTCCCTGCAAAAAATTGAAAAACAATTTTTCTAAAAAATTTTTATATAATTTGATGATTAAAATAAACCCCTTTTAACAAGAGTTTTGCAAAATTTGAGGCTTATATTTCTAGTATTAGTTAAACCGTTTTTTATAGACCTTTAAATTCATGTTTAATAAATATTTTTTAAATAAAAATATAAACTCTCCACTGTGACTATTTTTGAAATAATCTCATGATTATAAAATTGCTGTTAATAAATAGATAATCTAGTGTAAGTAATTAAAAAATATAACTTTTTATATTTTTTATATGATAATTAATTGACAAAAACCAATTATGAAAAAAAAAATATGTACAGCTCAAAAATTCGAGGAGATTCCATTTTATTTTTACAAAAGCGTCATTTAAGGTGTGTCATCCTGGGCAATTGCCTTACTCTAATTTATAACGAATGCTGAGGACGGTCAATTCGCACTCTTGCTGATTGTGCCCTACTTTGAGCAAGCTCATTCCTTGTTAAAAGCTAATTTATATTGTAAGGAATTTAATGAAAATGAATTTTTATTCAATGACAAAGACGCCTAATATTTTATTTTTAGTCATTTAAAATACAAAATAAATCCGATTTTAACAACATCATTGTTGTAATAATCAGTTACAACACAGATTTTTACTTCACTATTGATAAACAAAACATTGTATTTCAAACAGCCTGTGCCTCTTAAAATAAAAAGTTCTCTGATTATCTATTTATAGTATTTAAACCTTAGTTACNGAATTTAATGAAAATGAATTTTTATTCAATGACAAAGACGCCTAATATTTTATTTTTAGTCATTTAAAATACAAAATAAATCCGATTTTAACAACATCATTGTTGTAATAATCAGTTACAACACAGATTTTTACTTCACTATTGATAAACAAAACATTGTATTTCAAACAGCCTGTGCCTCTTAAAATAAAAAGTTCTCTGATTATCTATTTATAGTATTTAAACCTTAGTTACTAATATTTTACAAAAATAGTTTATATGTAATTTTGAAACCAAACGAACGTTTAAAACGATATAGTCAATTAGATAACTGATAACACTAATAACTTGATTCAATAATGATTTCGTTGTAAGTTTTTTTTTTTAATTTTTTGTATTCTTATACTATGTTAAATAGACTATTTGCATTATTAGCTTCGATGCGAAGCTGAGAAGGTATTAATTTTACTATGACGTATTTTTTTTTTTTTATGTCTGTTGCCACTTTTCTTCAGCTCTCACTGGACCGATTTCTTTCAAAAGTACGTAAAAAGATCACAAATCGTATCTAGTTAGAGAAATTACCCTTAAAAATTGAAAAAAATTCCCTCGTTACCCGCAAATGGGGGAAATATCCAAAAAAATTACAAATTTAAAAATCGGTAAATTTTGTCTTTTTTTTCTTAAAACTTCCATAACTTTTTGAAAAATCAACAAATCAACATAATTTTTTTTTATACTAAAACCTCAGATATTTCCCTTTCATTTTATATCATTTTTTTGAAAATCTAACACTTAACCTGCTCATTGGGGGAGATTTAAAATAGCAACTTTTTTACAAAAACTAACTTTTTCAACTTAATTTTTGAATATATTCCGAAAATACTGCGTCCTTTAAACATATACCAAATGAAAGCTTATTTTATGTACTATAAAATGGAAAAAAAAATTTGTCCTGACACTTTATCTTCTACATTTAAACTGCTGCCGTAGTTAAAAAAACACTATTTTTTGTTAAAATTTTCAACTTAAAAATGCTATAACTTGTTGAAAAATGTATATATCAGCACAAATTTTTTTTTTCTAAATACATTATAAGTACATCTTTCATTTGACATACTTTTTATTAAAATT